CTAAGAAGTTTGACGTCACTCTAGACAACTGCACTCTCAATAACATATATAAAAATCATTCAAAGAACTTTATCTATAAGCGACATTTATGGGAAAGTTAAAAATCTCTATTATACAGTTTTTCTCTTATAACCGGAAGTTGTTTTTTTTAATGTGCTGGGTAGGTCCAACACATATCGAATCTTTAAAAAAGATAAAATGAATTATATGTTGCAAGTCTTTTATTTCAAAAGAAAAATGTTTAAATTTTTGATTTCTTTGATCACTTCCTGTGACGACCGGAAGTGATGGTTGACGCGTTTAATCATATATGTTTTGTCTACTCCTCAAGATCTATTATTCTTATAAGTTTGGTGTCTTAATCTCTTACTGTTTCCGAGATCTCGCTCAGAGAACTTCTCATTTTCAGGACAGGAAAACACGCGACCGGAAGTGAATTTTACAAACTTGTCTGAAATTACTCTAGACATTTGCAGTCTGAATAAAATGTCTAAAAATCATTTAAAATTCCTTGCCTATGAAAGATATTTATGGGAAAGTATAAAACTCAAATTATGTGGTTTTTCTCTTATAACCGGAAGTTGTCGTTTTTGTTTCCGGTGGGACTGACATATTTCGAAACGACAAATAAGATGCAATAAAGTGATGCAAGAAAAGATTTAAAAACGAAAAGTTGAAATTTTCGATTTCTTTGATCACTTCCTGTGACGAGCGGAAGTGACGGCTGACGTTCTTGATCCAAATGGTTTTGCCTACTCGTCAAGATCTATTACTCCTAAAAGTCTGGTGTCTTAATCTCTTACCGTTTCTGAGATCTGGCTCAGACAAATTCTCATTTTACGGACAGTAAAACACGCGACCGGAAGTGAATTTTACCAAGATATTTGACGTTACTCTAGACATTTGCAGTCTTAACAACATATATAAAAATCAATTTAAATACTTAATCTGTAAGCGATATTTATGGGGACGTATAATACTCGAATTATGTAGTTTTTCTCTCATAACCGGAAGTTGATGTTTTTGTTTCCGATGGGACCAACATATTTCAAAACTACAAATGAGATGCAATAATGTGATGCAAAAAAAGTTTCAGAAGAGAAAAGTTGAAAATTTCGATTTCTATGATCACTTCCTGTGACGACCGGAAGTGACGGTTGACGCTCTTAACCCAAATGGTTTTGCCTACTCCTCAAGATCTATTACTCATATAAGTTTGGTGTCTTAATCTCCAACCGTTTCTGAGATATGACTGGGACAAAATATTTTTGAAAAAAACGGAAATCGGACATATCTGACGACCGGAAGTGAATTTTGGAAAAATGAAAAAAACGCCTGGGGGTATTTTCATTGTCTATCATCCCTGAAAATTTCAAGAAAATCCGTCCAGCCATCTCTGAGAAATCGAGGGGGACACGAAAAGGGGAAAAAAAAAATAATAATAATAAACACTACAATCACTATAAGGTCTTCCGTCTGAAACGGAAGACCTTAATAAACAGTAGAATCACTATAAGGTCTTCCGACTGAAACGGAAGACCTTAATAATAAGAAACAGTAGAATCACTATAAGGTCTTCCGTGAAGACGGAAGACCTTAAATAAAAAAAAAAATTAAAAGAAAATGCATAATAGAAATATTTATAAAAAAAAATAATATCATTTTGTTTTTCACTTACGACCCCTTTTCTGTAGGATCAATTCCATTCCAAACTGCTTGATTTCAGGCCAATCAAATGCACAGATGCATGCGGTTTTAATTTTGGCCTGGAGAGATTTCAATATTGAAATTTTAATTCGTTCTTAAAATGAACATGCCATTTATCTTTTTTTCCCCTCAATGAGCTTGAAGTAAAACAATATGCTTCAGAATACTATATACAATTTAATTTGTACATTATAACTCTTTCAGAGTGCTTACAACTGATATTCATAAAATATCTAACATGACGCCTTGGGAAATCATGTCTTTTAAAAGTATTTTGGACAATAATTTTGCTCATTTATTATCCGACCTGCATTTGTATTCTAAGGAGGCCCAGACTTTATTCAATGGTCCTATATTAGAAGAAAACTCTAGTTGTACCCATCAGTTTGGCATTGTTGTCTTCATATATCCAAGTAAACTCGAGAAAAAAAACACAGCAGGGTCTAAACGTGGATGATTTACAGACTATAAACCTTAATGGACAACTAACAACTTAACAATATGACAAATGGTATGACTTCAGCTTTCTCCATCTGCAGTCTACCCTATTTAATTACTAATATTCCATATACACCTGCATAACGTAATTTTGTCTCACAACTGATTCGGTACTCGTTTAATTTGAAACTGAGGAAGGCTGCTCAAAGATACGTTGATGTTAAGGAGCTTTCAATAATTTCGGCAATCAGCATTCTACAAATTATATGGAAAAGGTTTATATTAAAAATGCATATTTCCGAATACAAGCTATAGGTCTGTTTTGAGCTTATTTGGAACATGGCTGATGTAATATTTTAGTCCAGTATTTTTATGTTTATTTTGTCTACGTATCACTCTGTACAACTGATCAACACAGAAGGCTCACGGCGAGTAAGACAGAGAGTTAGGGGATGTGTACTCCTCTTAGGCACCTTATTCCACCTATGTTATCCCAAGGATCCGTGGTTTTTTGGTCTTCTTCACAATATTTATTTTTACAGGATATATGAGACCGGTGTCACTATTCATTAACTTCACCTTTTGCATCATATCAATTGTTATGAGATAAAATTAATCATGCTACTGATCTAAAAATATATTTGAAATACGAAGAAACATCAGCAACTGATAAGAATACAAAATCCCTTGGTGTTATGATTTATTTATCTAAGCATCTATCTGCCATGCATTTTAATAAACAGTGACCTATGCAAATAAGCTCGTATACAGACAAGTTTTCTAATCTAGTAAGGAAGTGTTTATCAATGAGAAAACAACGCCATCCCACGTCAATGTTGCAGACTTGCAAAATTACATAACTACCATGCCAAAGTCTTACTAGACGTCAAGCTTCAAACGATAATTAATGTTAAGTCACTATAATATATAAGTCTTCCTGAATGCCATTTCGTTAAGGAATTCTGCAATTATTAAGCATAGTTTCTACGATTACATTCTGTAATTTGTATTCTTGAAAAGAGACTTGCTTAATTTGACGTCATCACCGTATCTGGTTAAATATTTTCGTCATTGACATAAAGTATCTTTAAAGGGGTTTTCCCAGCAGATGTCAAGCATTTTTAAAATACAACGGAAAATATTATTAATGATTACAGCAGTTCAAACCTTTACTGAACTTTAAAGCCAGATTCAAAGCCTCTTTTTAAAGACCAATTGCCTTCGTAACCTATTTTTAAAAAAGAAAGATGGCACATATTTTTTTTTAAAGTATTCTTAAAATAAAATTTAAAAAATATTCATATTAAGTGTGTGCTGATTATATTAAAAGTCCTATAGGCATTTTGAAAACACGAAAAAATCATAATATCACTAAAAAGGTCAGATATTTGCTATTTCCCGTTGAGATATAAATTATCATGGTTACACCTTGTTTTTACTAAACTTATTTTTCTTAAAGCTTTCTTTAAAATGAAAAAGTGATTAATAGATATTTAATTAGGATAAAAATTTTGAAAGAATATAATTAAACATAAAAAATTAAATAGAATTATTCGTAACTAATCATAAAATATTTTTGAAGGTATTTATATAAAATTAAACACTAACAAGGAACCCTCTAACAATGTTGTTTTTTTTTTCCATTAATTCTATTATTTTACTGTCAAGGACATGCGGCGAAAAATAATATTGCAAAACCACTTTTACCTTCCTAGAATAAGATTCAAAAGAAAATGAAAACAAAATAGATTGTTCTCGGAAATATCATTGTATATTAAATAATATCCCTTTGAACGTGCTTATTTTTGATACCAACTTTTCCTGCAAGAATTAAACATAAGAATGTTTTCATTTCGCTTCCTTTCATATTAAACCCATTTCCTCATTATAAGACCGCTAAATCTCTAAATCTGCGGAGTGTTGGAAGAGGGAGGAAAATGAGTTCAAGCATATTCACTTAAAGGATAATTCACTTCAATCCATTCTGCTATATTTCAAATTACCTTTACCTGTTTAAGTTGACAATTTTAAGTACACTACCTGAATAATTGATAACCTACACGTGCAAGTTCATTACAACGACGCATACAAGTAGGTCATAACCTTTATATGCATATTTGAATATTAATGAGGTGATTCCAGATCTTTTGCATACTTGTGAATGGCAGATATGTGACCTTCAGTTTACACACGTTCTGTACAACTGCAGTTTCTTATTGCATAAACATCTGATTGATTAATCATAATCATCGGAAATCGATGTGTTAAATGAACTCATAGATAATAAACAACAAAAAGCAACAAATATAATGTACTGAAGATAATAAATGCAGATGAATTCAGAAATTCACGTTAGAAAGTGATTAACTTATTTCATTTTTTTTTTCAACTGTTTAGAAAAAGGAAAGCAGCAGGCTGACACTTTTTGTAGATTCTTAGTGTAAGACACGTAGGAGGAGTACCCAAAAACAATAACGCTTTCATATAAAAACCTTGAGAAATAATTAGCATTGGCACAAATCATTTAGTAATGCAATTTGAATCGATGAATTTTTATTACTTTACAGAAATTCTTTGATTTGATTGGAAAATGGTTAGAATTCAAAGGTTATGAGGCGTCCTCGCCTTCTATTTCGTGTAATATACTTTTTTGGCAGACGACACAAAACATTACAAGGTGGAAGAACATATTCCTAATCAGGTTGTATCCCTGCAGGTGGAGTGACCGTGACAACGTAATTTTCAAACTGGAAGCGCTAACTTCCGCAAAAAGGGATTTCTGTGTAAAATCCGCCGTCACGCTATAAATTGTCAGTTCACACCGTATTCGTCAAAGACTTTACATCTACAGTAACAATGGAAACTGGAAAAATTATCTGTAAGCATAAGAGCCTCTTAATATTTAAATGGGTTCATGCTAATTAAAAGGGAGTCAAATTATTCCGTTTTAAAACTTCTTTTTTTCCGTTGCAAAATATTCATAAAGCAGAGTTTATAATAACGTGCAATTAAATAAAATTTTAAAAATTATTCTAGATATTTCTTCATTTTTCATTGTTTAGCTTTTATCTTCTTAAAAACGCAGATTTTTAAAAGCAAATTATTTCAATTTAAGAATGTCAGAAAGTTTCATTGATTGGGTTTCTTTTACAGTTTTTGCGACGGCTACCTTACTGCAGATCATAACAGAGATTTCCTCTGCAGCCATTCCAAGTACTTGCATCAAGCCATCCGCCCTCAGCATCCTGCAAAATCCATGCGATGATCACGTGGACAAAGTGAAACCTGCTGCAGAAAATAGAACACTGAGTCTGATTGGTCAGCAGGCAGGAGACTTAAGAGTCCATATAAAGAGTGTTCTCGATATTGTAGTACGTATCTTCTTCACTAAATGAGTTTGGTGTGATTGTTATTAGCTTGGAGAGTTAAGAAGCAAATTCATTACTGCGGCAAGGAGGGGACTCATTCTTTGTGCTTTGCTCAGTAAAATCAAAATTTGTAAATTATTAGCATCTTTGATTTGATGAAGTCAGATGCACTTCACATTATGACGCAGGAAATAGTAGAGGACATTTTCTCATACCCAATGCATCAAATGAGCAACATGTTTTCCTCATTCAAAGAACCAACACCTTGATTTCTCATTCTCTTTATAGCCTTTACCGTATTCAAATCTTTCGTTGTGGTTACAAGTAACTTACGAATCATGAGTAATCAATGGAAGAATTGTTCACTAAATACCAACTAAGACACATGCTTACATGAAAAGTTATGTAGTGTGTTTAGTTTTTTCCTTCGTTTTCCCTGTGTAATGATAACGTAACAGAAATTATAACCTCCACTCAAGTTGACTTTAGAACTACATAATAAAACCTTTTCTTACAGAAAAAGGAGCGCTATCACTCGCCTAACCCTGATCTGACCATTCTTTTTCCGGAGTCGGTGCAGGTAACATTATTGTTATTTACTTCCGTGTTGACATTTGACGTATATTTACTTCTAATTATTCTTCTTGTCTATAACATTTAAGTTGATTGTTTCAGGATGTGTCTACGAATACCACACAAATCAAGCATACCATGGAATCAGTGTTTCTATATGTGGATCAGCTGATCAACAGAGAGAGAAAATTACAGATACAAAGTGAAATCCCGGAGAAACTTTGCAACATCAATAGAATTATTGTTAAAATTCTGTGTAATTTATACAGAATGGGTGCCACTGAGCAGATAGCACTGGAGGACAGATCTGAGGTCATACAATCTTCCGTGAAGGTACCCCCTCCTCATTATAACTTCACATTTAAGGAATTGTTTGAGAGGTTCCATGGATTTCTATGTGAATTAATGAAACACAGTGGAGTACAATCTTCTAATTGCTAACAGTGACACTGGTTTAGATTTTAGCTTCATATTTTATGGTAAAAGTGCTTTTAATTTTTTTTATATGATTTATAATGACGACAAACATATGCAATTTCAAACTGTTTCAGTAAGTATAACTTACTCAAGTTTTCGTACTTTTACCCGGTTTATTTTACTGTTAAATCCAAATTTGTCCTACTGAAAATTTCGAATATTAAACTTTCATATTTTTCATATATGTAATATTGGTCGTCAATTATTAGTTTGCATGTGTTTGTTCGTCAATCAAAAACTCTATGAGTGAAATATTAGTCTCAGGGAATATTCCTTTGTAATGATCTCAAAATAGTCCCATATTTGTGTGAAACCAAAGAATATTTATTTAAATACCATGTAGATTTGTTTTTCTATTGTGCTTATTATTTCTTAATAGCATTTAACTATATCTATTTATTGATTTGTTTTTTGGTTTATCATCGTCTTTTAATGTGCACAAAATGTAAGTCATTAGATTATTTAATTTTGCCAAATTATGTGTTTTTAACATGTTGATATTGTTGATTAGAATTACAGAAATATTTTCTATGCTTTAATTTCTTTTATTCCCAAAAAGAAAACAAAAATGTTGGCAATGTTTTTGAATTCGAAATTTTGCTTACTTGTTTCTTCAAATGTTATATATGGGATTTTTCTTTACTTAAGGAAAACTTCGTAAACTCAAATTTTGACGAAAAGTGAAACGTGTTTTTATATCTAATTATTTTTTCCTTGTTAATAGATATGAAAATTAATATAAATCAACATTTTACTAATGGACTAAGAATTTCCCCAAAAATCACGTTCTCAAATTATGACTCAGTGAATATATTGGCACATGTTTATATGTGTAATGAAATTGTAATGCGTAACAATCAATTGTAAACAGTGGACAGTTTATATATCTCGTAAAAAAAATAATAATTGTCTCTTTAATGACTTCTTCTTCGATAATTAATAATAAAGTTATTAATAAATATCAAAATAACGTCTCAATTATAATTATTTTCAAGAGAAAATGGTTCATACTTGTTTAGATTTTTCACTTTGTATGTAAAAAACTGACTTTGTAATGCAGTTATTTCAAAATTAAAAATTGAAAGAGTTTCTGTATGATTTCTTGTGAGTTATCTTTAATTGTGTAAACATATGTTCTTCATGCCATATATAAACAATACATTCCTTTCACTTGCTTAACTATTATATTTTTCCTGAATAAATGTATTCTGTTTACTAGATAAAATAAAATATTTAAGATAATTAAATCCTCGTTTCTTTTTGTGCTAATTGGTTCATTTTGAGTTTATCATATAAAATCCAAACGTTGTCATCAACGAATTTTATTGAAATTTAAAATTTCATAAATGATCTAGTATAAATTGTTAGATATGTTTACTGCATACTTTAAATTTTCAAAGATCAAATATAGTATTACTCGGGAAAATGTGCACAACTTTTATCATTTTGTGATTCCAAATAAATTTACAAACTTAATTCGAAGCACTCAGAGATGGGTATATTTTAATACTAGCCATGCTAACAGGTATGTGCAGATATAGAGTTGCTTGCTCAAATCCAAGCAAGAAGCAAATATAAATACTGTGTGGCTTAATTGTGAGTCAATGTGGAAATCGTTGTCTTACGAAAAATCTATTTGCAGGTATTAATGATATAATTTGGATTCTTTCTGAACTTCTCTATAATCACTAAAAGTAATTGAATATATATATATATATATATATATATATATATATATATATATATATATATATATATATATATATATATATATATATATATATATATATATATATATATATATATATATATATAATATTATGGTGCAACGAACATTTCAATAAATGACAATGCATTTAATTTTTTTGATATATCTAACAAAATTTATCGATTCGTATACTAACATAGGCCTAAAATTCATTTTCCACTAAAGTTATCCAAATCAGATTGAAAAAAGTATGTTGTGTAAAATTTCCCATTTTTACTTCAACTCTCTTATATATCACAGTCTTAGATTACGTTTGTTGCACTCTTTTATCAAAACATGTGGAAAGAGTGACGTCCTTTATCAGATTGTGAGGTAACTGTCCGCCGGTTTATCAAGTTGATAAGTGGGTGTTTGATAAAGTAAATCACAGTGTTCTTGACCTATTTTCCGTAAATGATAGATGTTTGTAGGAGGGGAAAACTAGGAGATGAGAAAAAATCCAAATTCTTAGCCACTTAATTGGTCACTTGATTGTTTAACTATTGGTCAGTTTGTTTTCGAAATTGAAAATATTGTTTCTTTTCATTTTTTCTTTTCATCCCCTCATAGTAAAATTGATAAAAATAGATTTTATTGTATGTAATGTATGTTATGAATTTATCTTGCATTGATAAAAATAAATTTTATTGTATGTAATGTATGTTATGAATTTATCTTACATATAATCAATAAATAAGGATATTATTAAATGCAGACCTCATAATATAAAATAAAAGGAATGTAACAAAACAAACTTGATCTTTAAAAAAAAATCGAAATATAATTCAATAAAATCAGAAGCGCTAAAATCATCTTTAATTGTCTTTTAATTCTTGGAAGGTAAAAAAGAAATTATAGTTACGAAGCATTCTCGAAAATGACATGTCCTTAAAAAGATTAATACTCATTCACTCAAGAAAATTGCAAAAAAGTCATACTATGTCTAAACATTCACGTCATGTGAAAGAAAAGATTACATTTTATTTAAAAAAAAAAAAAGATAATGGATTTCTAATTTAAGAAACGACAAGTCACTGCCGATGTTGGACACTTTGTTTACAAATTGTGAACATTACACAGCATAAAATAACAACGTATTTTACATATTTTAAAATTTAAAATTTAAAATGTAAAAATTGGATCTGCTTTTTTTTTTTTATAGGAATTTTATATTTCAATTATATTTATTCGATAAGATGCATTGCAATTTGTTTTAATACATTTTACTGTTAAAGTGTATACTTAACTATTCACAATGTTTCTGTATGTAAGATGTCAAGAGTCATTTTTTGAAGCAATTCTTAATATCTCATAAAAGAAAATCTTTTATCTAGTGTACGTATTCTAATCATCGTACTCAAAGAGTGAATGAAAGTTAAAACATAAGAATTTGAATGAGAGAATGGTGCAATGTACTTTTTAATTTATGACGCTTTTACTTCAGAACTCAAAAATCCTGGATTAGTATTACTTCAGCCTTCCATTGGACGTCAAAAAAGATAAACATAATTAACACGTGTTTTTACTAACATACATTGTTTAAAACCATTCTATGCATTCTTGCAGATTTGCATTTTTTCATTCCTATGATTTTATTTCTTCGTTTCACTTCTTTTTTTTCTTCTGGCTGAAATTTCCCTGTCATCTCTTCTTCAAATATATCGGAAAACAACGAGTTCTTTAGCATCATGACAAATCAAAACAAATATTTCGTCATTTTTAATCTTTTTACTTCTCTATAGATGTGAATATCGAAAAAATAGTATGTTTGACTTTCATTCAATTATTTTTTTTTAATTTAATTTAATGCAATATAATTTTGTATGCAGATGTTTTATGCATTGATATTAATATATTTAAATCCATTGAAAATTTCTCCTTTAATTCTTATGAAAATCACCTTCCTTCATCAATTTATTAACTCTACACTAGATAAAACATTTTTAATGCCATGTTATGAAAGATTTCTTAATGTACCCTTCGAACATTAACACATACCATGTCGTACGAATCAATGATAAAATATTTTACATGCTTATACCTACTTTATACGATTAATTATGCAGCTAGACATAAATATGCACAAAAAATGCATTTATACGTTTGTTGATGTTTGAATTAAGGATTGCAACCATTACAGAATAAAAATGGTGAAGATAACGAACAGTGATCGATCTCAGAAAATCTACAAACAGTCAAATCTGTAAACAGGGCATAAAACATGGACAATCTGAAATTCCAGAGGTCGGATGAGATGCCCAGGAGGAGTAGCATTCCATGTTGACCGGTCACACACGCCGTAAGCCTTATGTATTGATCATGTAGACGGAACTTTCCGTTGTCAAAATTTGTATAAAAACAAAGACCTAGCAATTGTTATGAAACACGTCAACCAAAATACAACCCAATGATAGGTTATATTTGTTAACAAGGTCATTATAACGACCATATATTTTACGAAATGTTGACTTTAAACGAGACTGTTGCAATCCCCGTAACATTAACTTATCTGTCAGTTGCTTATCTCGGTTTAAAAATTGATCATACTCAGAGTATTCTCTTGAGTATCTAATAATCTAAGAGTCTTCACATAAGTAAGAAAAGTTGAGTTCCATTTGTATTGAAGATGCAGTTGAAAGCAGAATAAATACATATTCCGCCTAAGCGGGAATTTGTATAACGTTTTTATTTATGACAAGAAACTGATAAGCAGAGATTCCAATAATGGTTTTTGAAAAGATTATTTGTTTGATATGTCTCAGAATAAAATAACCAATGCAATAA